CCGACATAGCCCAACGGATTAGTAAGCTGAAGTGGCAATGGGCCGGCCATATAGCTCGAAGAACCGATAACCGATGGGGAAGAAAGGTTCTCGAGTGGCAGCTTCGTACCGGTAGGCGTAGTGTAGGGCGACCCCCCACTAGATGGAGTGACGACCTGGTAAGACATGCAGGAAGTCGATGGATGCAGGTGGCTCAGGACCGTGCTTTGTGGCATTACTTGGGGGAGGCCTATGTTCAGCAGTGGACTTGTGAAGGGCTGTAATGATGATGATGATGATGATGAACAACATCTTCTTGTGACCATATCAATATTAAAAATCTTTTATGTTTTAAACAAATAGATTGACTTGGCAATCGCACTAAACAATCGAATTTAATATAATATGTATTACATTGTGTTTTTATGCGATGGCCGATTTTGAATACTAAAGAAAAAGTTAAAGATCCACTTTTATTTATTCTATTCGCAAGTCTTAACTATTCTTCACATCGGGCTAAGCCTTTTTTTAGATGTGACTTTATAAGATTAGAAACCATCAGCATCAAATATTTCAAGGGGCTTAATTTTGTGACATTCGTAACTAAATAATGATAGTCATTCTTAATACCTTACAAGCCATCCGATTCTAAAGTAAAACTATATTCGGGTGCATTATAGGATCATCTATCTATATTATATAAGACTCTAAGACACCGATTTCCCAACACTATTTTTTTAATTTGACTTGGGGTATAATATTATCGATACAGATGCCAAAAATTTTGTAGGTTATATTTGAGTGTAATAATCAAATAAATAATACTTCAATTTTACCTAGATGGCGCAATAGGTATTTTCAAGAACAATACGGTTTCGTTATACGCGAGTTATTATATTAAGTAACAGATGGTGCTTTTGTCGCTTCGATTTTATTAGATTAGTAAAGGATATAATTTTTTTTCTTTTATTCGATTAGGCGATGCACAAAAGCGTGTTGTTTTTTGTTGTTCATGTTTTTATTATTCATTACTCATAAGCGTAAAAGCTCATATACTAATGTTACCTTTATTAAAATATATTATTGTAAATGTGTTGTGATAGGTATATAGTTTGTTTAATCGCGCCTTAAAAATGAAAACAGGCAAACAGTAATAAGTTCAATTCCAAAGTAAAGCCGATATATAACCATCAGCTGAGTATCAGATGATATATTAAATTAAAAATGTGTATTTAATAAAATGCTTTTGAATTTATTTTTTTAAGGAAATTCTTATAATGAAACTAAACCTTAATTTATAACAAATTCTATACCTGTATTTATAGCTGCATTCATTCTGTATTACCTGTGAACAGGTTCTAAAAAAACAAAGTCTGTTAACGGAAGTCTTTCTTTATTTCCTTCATAAATAGCGTTTATGAAATTTCATTTATATTGGATATACTTAAATTAAAATATAATAGTATTTTGACTAGTCATAAATTTAGTTTTGCCATATACCCTACAGGTGTCATTTTTCACATGTTTTTAAAGCCTTGGATATACTTGGGGACAAATGGAGCAGCATGCTGGCGGGCCTGTTCCGCCTGCTGGCGGGCGTGTTCCTCTTGCTACTCTTTCAATCATCAGGCCTGTTCCTCCTGTCAGCGGGCCTAAACCTCCTATCGGTGAGCCTGCTCATGCAGCATCACCATCAGAGCACCTAAGTCAGGTGCTGCAGATTTAAGAGCTGTAATTAGAATGTGTTTTTAGCAGGCACGGTAGACATGGCAAGGAAATAAAACGAAAATAGAATCCGGGACAGATAAATTAGGGCTCTTTACTTTAAGAAGTCATATGTATCAAATAAAGAACGATTGGATATTCACAATGCTGTTGGTTCCTGTCTTATTGCATGGTAGTAAATATTAGGACTGGCAGAGGAAGCATGTGAGTAAAATTAATAGTGTAAAACTGCGGTCATTAGGGAGTATTATAGAGATGACTTTGAATAGCAGGTTGAGAAATAGTCTGATAACAGAAAAGTGTAGTTTGCGAGAAGATATTGTAACCGAAAATAATACTTCGCTAGATTGGACGTATACAAAGAAGGAAAAGTAACAAAGCAAGTTAAAATGCTTTGTTACTTTTATTAATTTATATGAGTGGCAGAATCGGTAAGGGACGTACTAGATTAAGTCGTTGAGGAAGTTTATCGACCAAATTGGCGATATATTGAAGATAGGCCAAATTAAGCGTACCCTTAATCGACTAGCATGTATATTGTGATGGAGGCGAGAAAGGTGTGTCAAGATCATGCCAATTGGAAGTCCGTAGTCTCTGCCTATACTCTGGGTGATAAGCGTGGGAGTTTATGTCATGTATCTTCTAATTAAGAGTTAATAGGCACTTTCTAAGCTTTATATTAAAGACTGCATCATCACTCATTATTAGGTTCTACTTTCAGTAACTCATAATATAGCTTACAATTATAAAAAATTCTTACAAATTAAAAAAAATGTTTTTATTTTTGTGTATAAAATAAAAAATTAAAAATAGAAGCTACAATCCTTAAAATGCCTGAAAATGTAAAGAAATATCTTATTTTCTTTATAATAAATTACGAAAGTTATTTATTTTACTACTCTATTTTTACAATAAATTGGCCGCTATTTTCCCTCATTTAATTATGCCTATGTTAATTTCCAATATATCAATCGGTACGTGGATTTAAATCTTATAAATTAAACATTATTTTGATTATAATTTGTTTAATTTATTTTACATAAATTTCCAAACCCTACTACTTTAAAAAATGCCACTTCTTTTGAATTGTAGAGATCCAAAAAGTCGTTATGATTGCTTTCAACTCACTCTTATAATAAATAGCTCGATGTTTATATAGTTTATATACTCATTCTTTTAGTAAACACTAAAATAAATAACTTAAAATTTATCAAAACTAGTGAAAAATTATTTTGACATACTTTATATTTTTCATAAACTGTAAAATACATTTGCCCGAAATAACGTAAAAATATTTTATTATAAAGTACATGTTTCAACCCTAGTACATACTTTTTATAATCATTGTACTACTGGCTACTGTACCGAATTCCTGAGAACCAATTCAAGCTACAGCCAAAATTTATATAAAATTTTGGTTTGGTTGGTTTTTAACGCTAAAGTAATGTAAATTTGCAGCCTATATACGTCCTCCTGCTGGGCACAGGCCTCCCCTCATTTTTGAAAAGGTTTTAGAGCAAGGAAGTGTCCGCCGCGCTGCCCCAATGCGTGTTTTGCGAACTTCACATGTCTTCGAAATATTTTTTTCTTATTCCTCAGATATGCAGGTTTCCTCACGATGATTCCTTCACCGCCGAGCGTGTGCTAAATCAGCACTTAAAATTCCAATTAACAATTTCATTGGTGCCGGCGGGGATCGAACCCGGGTTACTCGCGTTCTGTTTTAGTTACAGCGAGCGTTTAACCATCTGAGCTACCACGGCTCTCTTAACGCTAACAGTAACTAAATGATTTGAACATATATGTATATCATAATTAAATTCCGCAAAATAAGGCCCGATTCTATTTATAATAATGTGGTTGTGAGCGTTTATATCAGATGATCTTAACTCTCAGGGGTGATATCACATTCTGAATTTTTATCCTTAATTGAGGATAGATATATGTATATATGGGGTTACATAATATAATACTTCAAATTACGTAGACAGTATGCTTTTTGACCACCCTTAAAAGAGGGTCTAGTAAAGTTAGAGCCTATATATTACGTTCAGCTGGGCACAGGTCTCCTCTTATTTGTGAAAGGGATATAGCGCAATTTTTCCGCAATTTCTATCCATTGCTTATTTGCGGATGCATGTTTCCTCACCATGTATTTCTTTAGCGTCGAAAAGAAAATAGCACCTATTTGTATATATTTAATAATGAAAGCAGTGCGCATGGAAATTGTAATATGTAATAGTGACAACACTATAATGTTTTTTGCTTTTCTGTGGCAGTCTATGTAGGTATAAAGTTCGTGGAAAGTATTCAAGAAAAGCTGTTTCTCTTGGGAAGTGAAAGGTGTTAGAACCCCAGAAACGTTTTTTCTTTTAATATAAGTTAATTTTTCATAATGGATTTGACTTTTTGTATTTCTTTTCTATGTTTATGTGCCCCATTGGTCGAATCATTTTTTCTTTTCGCAGGTGAGATTCATTAATATTTTTGTAGTAATTAATCATTCTGTTTTAATACGTCTTTTTATGATTACGTAGTTGATTTTTAATTATTAAGCAAAGACTTTATATACAATCACTACGTTTTGTAATATAATTCTGAATTTCAAATGTCAGTTAATACCATAGAATACTATAATATATTATGTAGTATTCAATGGTTAATACCTACAAATGATTTAGTACTATTTAAAGGATAGAATAAAATTCTTTCTAAAATAATTTAAAGTATAAATCCGGAATTAAAATTGATATGTTTTGCTTAGCGGTTATATAGAGTGTGAAGAGAAGCCTGTATGTCTAAGAAATTTAGAAAAAAAGACATGTTAATTACATATTCACATCGTAAATTAAGATATACATTGAAAAGAACAAAAAAGCACTCGAAACGTCGGGAATTAAAAATAAGTAAAAGTAATTAATTAAACGCGATAAAATCCGTAAATTTAGTTTTATTCAATCTGTAACTATTGTATCACATCCCTTAAATAATGCATCAATATATTTACGGACCTAAGTCATACGCATCCATCTAATTCCAAAATTTCTTACTAGATCGTCACTCCATTTAGATAAAAGAAAATTAAAACTTCATAACAAATATTTTAATAACTACCATTATCATCAATACATTTTTTAACAATACAGTTTCATTCTTTTGGATTTTGTTGTTTTCTAATTCTATAGAAATAAAAAAAACCTAAAAATGTGTTAGACCTCTCATACAAAATTTTTATTACGTCGCGCCGCTTCATGCTACATTAAGAAATGTAATCAAAATTTCTTAGGTAATCTAAGATGATATTTTATATAATTACAGAAAAGAACGAGCCAGTATGGTTTTGCCTAAAAGTGTGTCCACTCTATTGTGCCCACCGAAGACACGATGAAGGTAAATTATTATGCTAATATAAGTAGTAAGCCTTATAGACTAAAATCAAATAACATATCTAAGCCTGATCTTTAATATTATCCAATAACAGTGTTATTGAAAATCAAAAATATATCTGAATTGAAATTTTCGGTTGTCCTTATGTTTTTGAAGAGACAGTAGCAACTTGAGTTTGAACCTGCCATTCGACCACTATGATATGCCACACCTAACACAAGTTTTTTAAGCTTACTTGAAGCTTTTTTTATATAGGAAAAGGGTGACAAGTGAGCACACAGTCCACCCGATGGTAAGTGGTTGATGTGGCCCATAGACGTCTACATCTATCCTCGATTACGAATCAAAATGCATATGCGTTGTCACCCGTGAGGACTAAGATGGAATGCCTCGTTTCCAGTGAAAAGGGTCTCTGGTTCTCTACACTCACCATACGAAACACAGCAGCATTAAGCTACTATTTGACGCTGGTATTCTGTGAGAGCATGGTCCTACCCCGGTCGAGCCGACCCATTCGTGCTACAACTATAATAATAATATAACTACAGAATGGCTCTACCACGTAGAAAGTTCTTGAAGTAGTCAACGGAAATATTCGTAATTTTAATGATAGTTGTTACAGATTTTTTTTAAAGAAAAGTACTGATAGCATCATTAGTATTTTTCGTTGGTCTAGTGGTTGTAGTAGTGCGACTGCTGATCATGAGGGTTCGAATCCCGGGTCGAGCCAAAAAATTAATTATTGAGTTTTTCCGTAAGAAATTTTCAGTAGTTGCTCGGAGTCAGGAAGTTGGCGATGTCTCACTCCCGTGCCTTGGAAAGCACGTAAAGCCGTTGGTCCTGCGCTTGATCTCTCTCCGTTTTTTCGGTTCGGTTTCGGTATACCGTCCCATCGGATTATGAGAGTGAGGGAATAGAGAGTGCACCTGTGCTTGCGCATACACTTAGGCACTATAATCCTGTCCTGCGCCGATGGCTAGTCTCCGATGAGGCAGGCCGCCGTGGTTGAAATTCGGTCTGGAGGATATTATTATTATTATTCTTTAAAAAAAGAAAAATCAGATCATCACACGCAAACCCGGATGCTTAAGGATTAAAAAATGAATTGGCGGATATGTGAAGTCTACCCACATGCATCAAGGATCGCAATAGACTCTTCCTTACCCTAAGACCCCCTCAAGAATGAGAGGACGACAGTGCCAAGCAGTGGGACATTAATAGTGAAGCCTATTTATTTGTTTATTTTTATAATGGACAATTATTAGTTATTATTATATTTTATTTCATCAGATGCCTCATCTCTCATATACTGGGACGAAGATTACGGTTCAATTGTACATGAAGAACCTGAAGTATACCTGCCTTACCATTACTTCTGCAAGCCTTCCAAATCTAGACCTACGACTACTACGCCACCAACCACTACAACAATAGCAACTACCACAGAAGAACCCACATGGATATGTATGGTATGCATGAAGAAATGTGGAAGTTTAAAGAACAAATAAATTCCAAGAATAAGAAATTATAGGAATTAACTTTCACTAATATAACGTTTTAATATATATTCTGTTACCATATGTTTTTCGATTTAGGTCCTACATTTTAGGATATATAAAATTGTAAAAAAATCATTACTTTTAAAATTATCATGGGCTTGTTTAAAAAGAGAATTCTATATGAAAATAATAATAAATACATGGTCTTAAATATCGTCTATACGAGTATTAACAAAAAAATTAGGTATCTTTTAAGACTAATATTTCCGTCGCCTACAGATACGCAATAGAAAATTGTATTGTTTATTTAATTTTTAATGTAGTCCAATATTTTTTAAAACTAATACTATTTATTTAATGCATAACAATTGATATTTCAACACATTCTTTGTATTTCTTGAATGTAACATTTTAACAAATTGTAAACAATTGTATTTTAGAATTTTAATTAGGTGATCATCTACATAATATATTGATCACAATAGTTAGTTATGGTATAATTTTTATGTATAGAATAATTATTACGTGTATGTTACGTAATATTTGGATTTTTTATAAAAAATTCTTGTTTAAATATAATATTGTACGTACGTATGTACACATGATCACCTATTGAATAAGTAGATTAATAAAATAATAAATCAATAATATCTTTAATCAATGCGTTCTTTGTCATACAGAAGAAAAATTAAAATCAAATCAAATCAAATAATTTATTTGTAAAACATAGATAAAAAGTTACACACTTGGTGGAAAAGGTATATATATGATAAGTAACACAATGTTTCGCCTAAAAAGGCAAAATACAAAAAAACAAATAAGTATTTGTTTATCATTATCACCTGGCAATATGAAAATTAATTTTTAATAAAATAACAATTTCATTTATTATTGGTATATTTAGAAATTACATAAATTATTATCTTAATTATCAATTACATAATTCTTAATAACATAAAGATAAAAATATAATAAATAAATCGGACATTAATTATTGTAGGTACTAAAAACCATTCATTTTAACATCAAAGTATTCGTTAATGTAGTATGCTTTATTTATTAAAAAAAACCGAAAGCAGTTTCTTAAAATTTGTCTATATTATCAGTTTCTCTAATGTTTTTTGGGAGTTTATTAAAAATTTTAGGAGCCATACCCAGGAAACTTTTTGAATACAGGGCTGTTTTATGTGGTTTTGTACGTAGTTTGCTCCTATGTCGTAATTATTAGCGTTTTCAAATATGCTAAAATATTTCTTCGAATATACAATATGTAACGATATTAACGCACACCCTCAGATACCCCAATTAGTATATTATGTTATAATCATAATACATACACCGAATTTTTAGTTAAACATTTTTATGCACTGATTATTTATCGAATTAGTTATACTAATTCCGGAAGAATATTGTGGTCACAGTACAAATCCACGAACGCAAAGGCTTTAATGAGCTTCAGATAAAGTTCATTTTTCTTTATTTTTATTGAATGACAGAATTAGTAATAATAGAAATAAAACTGCACTCTTAAAAGTCTTATTGCCTTAAGTTAAGGTTCATTTCAGTTTGTTTTGACTGTACAGATTTAGTGTGAATGTAATTTACGTAGTTTTAATTATTTTTGGGATAAAAATTACCTATATTAAAAATGATTCTGAACAAACTACTATCTCAAAGTGCGTTAATTATGTTACATGTTGTATATAAAGATGGTAGGGTCAGAATGTTAAGATCAATGAAATGCGGTTTGCAACTATCGGTAACCTGCAACTGACATACTGCTCGTAAACATTTCTTTCGCGCTTTAAATACTAATTCGCGTTTTGGGGAGTTTCCCCAAAATATTATACCATATCTAAATGTTGAAGAGATCTATGCATGGTAGGCGGTTATGGCTGTTTCACGATTTGTAATTTTTATAAGGTTATGTAGTGCATAGTGGTATTAATTTATCTTTTTTATTATGTGTTCAATATGTTTACTCCAAGTAATTTTTTCGTCCAGCCAAAGTCCCAGAAATTTTGTGTGTTCCTTTTCGTTTATAATTTTATTTTTATAGTTGATATTAAGTTCTGGTAGTTTTTTCCTTTGTTTGAATGACATAACATGCGTTTTTATCTAAATTAATTTTAAGATTATTGTCATTCAGTCAGCTGCTGACCTTGTGTCGTCCCGTGAATAAAACTGTGCTGTCATCAGCAAATAAGGTCATAGGGTGCTGAGTCACTTGGGGCAAAACCGTTTTACATTTTTAATTTTTTTAAAGTAATGTGTTTTATAGGTATAAAAAATATCTTTAAAATATACTTTAACATAATCATTTGTAAGGTATATTGAGTCAATTAAATTATATAGAAACACATTCCAAAGAAAACAGAAAACAAAATAGTAGGTAAATAGAAATGCTTATTTCTAACTTATCGTTTAGACATAGAATGGTGGAAAATACTAAAAAATACTAAATAATAAAATATTTTCCAAGACATAAAGTCAGAAGACTTTATGTCTTGGAAAATATTGTAAGCCATATTTTTCGGCATTATGTGATTTACAACTTATTGTCTTAGAATACATAAATACTTGCTTTTGTTTCTATAAGTTTAACTTAAGTACAAGGCGCAGATTCGGTCGCACATGGAATACTGTTCCCATCTCTGGGCTGGGGCTCAGATAACCTTTCCTAGAAGTATATAGGTATATTCATATATTTGTTCATATCAATAGCGCAAATGACTATTTGCGCTATTGATATGAATCGTAGTGACTGGAAAATACTAAATAACACATTATTATGTAAATTCGATGAACAAGATCGTTCAAGAACTAAAAGTCGCAAAAGTTCAGTAAACAAGTTAGGTCCTTACGATAACGAGAGACACTGGTCAATTATCCACCAGGAAATAAGCAAAAGTGAGAGCTGCACAATTTAGCATATTATTAGTAAGGTCTAGTTTTGCAAGATTGTTATATAAGCCTGGTGTTTACAAATATGATAAAGCTATATATACATATATACATATAATGTATCGTTGATAAATTTTTATTACTACAAAATCGTGCGTAGGTGTAATGTAACTCTGCGCATAAATCATATCCCAGTATACTAGGTGCTCGCAAATGTTCCAAGTAATGGTGTTAACATTTTCTTAAAATGTCTTTCTTTATGCAGAAGTGATGTAAACATGAAAATATACTGAAGAGTCGTGGTATGGAAAACGTTAATTCTTTTGGGGGAAATGCAAGACTTGTGAGTATGAGTAAAACTTTTGTAGAATTAAATTAATTAATATCACAACAGTGGTGCTAAAATATTCACTTGCTCATATCCCTTTGTAGATGTGTAAGAGGTGACAGATGGGAGAAAACGAGGAGATTTTCCCTAAATATAACTAGAACATAAAAAAACTGCGGTTACCCGCTAAGCGTGGCAACTATGGCAAATATCCCCCTTATGCGTCCATCTTTAGGGAGGTTCATTCTCAATAATTAATCCATTTTATATACTGTTATGGATGGAAAAGTCATACGATTGACTTTAAATATGAATTAGTAATCAAGAATTCTCTCTTTTTTTATAGGATGGAGTGACAAACGAACACACAGTCCACTGAACATTTCTATGGGCCACAGCAGTGGCCCATAGAAATCTACATCTATCCTCGATTATGAGTCAAAATGCAAATGCGTTGTCACCCGTGAGGACTAAGATGGAATGCCTCGTTTTCAGTGAAAAGGGTCTCCGGTTCTCTACACTCACTATACGAAACACAGCAGCGTTAAGCTGCTATTAGTATTTTGTAATACGTTAGTATCCTGTGAGAGCGTGGCCCTTCCCCGGTCAATCCTTGTGCTACACCAATATACAGCAGCATGGCTCTACCGCATATAAATGGGGGCGAGTTTGCTTCTCGCTGATGATGATTCTGTTACTGATGTGGTGCTTCAGGGTATTTAACTATTTATTCCATCATCTGTGGTATCCTTTGAAAGCAGATCTCTGTCTTGGTTTGATCGCTCCTGTGATAATACAATACGCAGTTAAAGCAGGAGTGTTATCAGGTCTGGTTTTTGAAAGTGTAACTTCACCTCCAGGTCTCTCAAAATCGTTATTGCCTACCCATTCGTGTAACAATTATACTACTAATATAACTGCAGCATGATTTTATCACGTAACAAAATCTCATCACCAAAACGGAAACAGATACAAAGGAATATCGCGAATACCACTACACCTGCTTAAAAGAATACAACAGTACGAGCAGATGCACTGCTGCATAGCGGTAGAAATAAGGCAAAAAGGACCAACACACATCCGAAGTAGGTTCGCCAAGCCCATTTGCAGTGACCACCTCGTGCCGGCCCTGCGCCACGGGCCAGCTTAGTAGGTTTCTCTTTGTTCACCGTGGACAACCAAATCGGCCACTAAGCCCCACGCCACGACAAGACGGGAACCCGAGCAGGGGGTTTCATTCAAACCTGCAGCTCCACAGAACTGATAAAAACTTGACGCGTTCTTATTTCTTGCCGATTTACTCTCCACAAAACGTGCAAGCCGACCCAGACCTCTACAGACTCCACTGTTAGATTTACAGACTGAAACGTTTTAATAATTTTTTTTTTAATATATGTATATCCTTAATTCTAAATTCTTTAAATCCATCTTTATTACTGAAAGCGTACCATTACAAATGGATGAAAATATAAACTCGTTCAAACAACGTTTTTTTTTTTATAGAAACACTAAAAATAATATGTACGTATTAGTATTCAATTAGAAATATAAAGATTACCTGGATGCGACGTCGTGGAAAGTAACTCGATATGAATTCGAAAATTATATTTACTCGTACTCGAGTATTTGACGTTTCTCTAATGGAGTAATAAATAATGATGATTGGACTTTTCGATTGTTATAACATTTTACGATGAACTATTGCCTATTATGCCAAACTAAGAATTGAACTAATTTTAGAGATTTTATGGTGAATTATTATAATTCATTTTAAACG